GCCCCCCCCCCCCCCCCATCCATAGCGACGATATTGACTCTTCCTAGATGAAACTTGAGACAATCTTGAAATATCACGAGTGGTATTTATGCCAATCACGTACAAATCATGCTATTATTTGTTTATACTACTACCTGCAAAAGGTTTGTAATTTTCACAGTTAGGTATTTCAAATGAAGCTGAATGCTCTAAACCAATCAAATTGCAGAAATGTCTCATGTAGTAGTATAAAATTACTAATAAAATCATTGGACTGATTGATTTTGGACTGCACTGTTGGACTCTTGAGGTGCACCATATACACAAACCGCCTGGGTGGAAATCTTGTGCAGAAAAATAAATCTATTAAATTTGAAGTGGTATCTCTGTCAGAATGTACACTAGACATGGTATGATTACTTTGAATTACATTGTGTATGTAATCAAATTAAATTGATTTGTGTCGTATTTTGGCCCGGGCTCATCAGTTTTATGACTTCTAGTTCATTCAGCTGTGCTAATAGTGCTATAAATTCAAGAAATCACGATTAAACACTTGTTTATTAAGGGTGGTGTAATGATTGGTCTTGGATTTAATACGTTATTTTCTTATTTAAATAAGGAGATAGCGTGGCCGAGTGGTTAGAGTGCTGGACTTGCAAGCGGGACTGATCCCGGGTTGAACAAGCCCTGCTCTAACTGTCAGCTGGGTTTGTTTTTCGCAGTCCCACGTTGATCTCCTAAGCCAAGCTTGTAAATTTCTAACTGGCTTGCTCTCAGCCAGTTGGGATTCTAACTTGTTATGCTTGTTTCAGTAATTTTTTATTTCTGTCCTTAATTGTGGGCCACATTTTAGACTATACAGTTACCAGAAAATAATTTGTGTTATCCATTAAAAGTCATAAAATTTTAATTTCTATATAATTTTTCAGGAAAAACGTGGCCCAAGGTCTTTCAACAACAACAGCAACAACAACAACAATGTATTTATTTAAAGAAATATAAAGTTTACATATTTCTTTATGTCCTGCAAATCGCTTTAATTCTAATTTAGGCAGGACAAGACTTTAAATAAAGACGGTATGAAAAATATAAATACATAAGAAAAAAAGAAAAGAAAAGGAATACAATAACATACAGAAAGAAACACCTTACATATAAATTCAAGTACAAGGGAAATATGTGATGCGCTCTCTTAATGGCCTGAAAGAGGAGGTATGATTAAATATTTTACCTTTATTTTCTCTTTCATTTTCATAGAAAAAATACAACAAAGTTCGTTACAAGGATATAGCATTGTTCTGATATCCCTTCAATTTTACTTTTTTTGACTGAACAGGTGCCCCGTCTTTTTATCAACTTGGTCCCGCCAATGGACGTGTCTCTACTTTCTTCCAAGTCGTTTTAAATCATGGGCTGGCGAGTGAAATACAGAATGTTTAGGTAACACTGCTTTGGCATGGGGTGATATTAAATTTGACCATTTCAGCTGCCAAAGTTGCATAATTTTAATCCATTATCTTGTTGTCTTGGGGTAGATCGTTTTTATTGATCTGGGAAAAAGGTTGTTGACTGGTTTCAGTGTTCTCAGCTACATGCACTTTGATTTTTAAACCTGAAGCGGACATGACTTCTGGGTTCAAAAACCTTTCACAATTGTCAGAAATTTAAACTTACTGTCATTAAAACCATTAGCATGTGATATATCAGATTTGAGGGTAGGTAAGGTTACAGGTACATAATGTTTTCAAGAGTTGTGCAGTCAGTCTGGTACATTTCTTGTGAACTGTAGTATTTTCAGAAACTGTTGTTCAGTTTATTATTAAAAGTAGTATTTTCTATAAGTTATTATCCATAACACTATTCTGAACCTCTCCTTACCTTTATACTCAATGAAATTGTTGTTGTGTTCTTTTCTTTAAGTTCATGCCAGTGCTTGAAGAAAGGTGGCGAGGAGAGGGCCAAAATTGCACAAGCTGTGAAAAATTACAAGGTAACTGTTCGTGTAGTTCTAATTAGGATGAAATGCCTGTTACAAAATAAAACTTTGAAAAACCTTAAGATCTCGTTTTTAATAGTGGGTTAACATCGTTTAGAATTTTTGATTTTCTTGTAGGAGGTGTCCTTGTGGTTATTAACGTTTATTTACTAGACTACGAGTAGTCCCCTATTTTTCTACCCCACACGAGAAAAGGCGACACACGGCGGGGAGAGCGTGTCGCCTTTTCTCGCGTGGGGTGATTTTCACGCGCGCTCGCGTTTCGCTCGCTCTACTATCCCTGAGGAAAAATGGGGGACTACTCGTAGTCTATTTATTTAATTACCGTTTTTAGCACCTTTTGAGGGATTTAGTAAGCAGTGGTCTTTATGACACACAGAACAACTTCTTGCGGTGGTTATTCAACCTGCTCTTCAACTGCCTCCGAGGTACAGCTGTACGGGAAGCTGCTCTTTTGCTATTTAATTAGTTTTCCGTTATCTGAGTGTTCATAGTCAACGTTGTCAGAAAATAACTTATGATTGTTGCCCAGATGTCGCTCTTGTAGTCTATTGATATTTCTGGTAGTAAGCGGAGCTTGTTGAGCATGATTTTGGGAAAAGGCCGAGGGCTGCTCTTTTGGCTTTGTTTTTCACACATCTCTATATATACCCAACTAAGGATCCTGTTCACGGATTAAGACGGACTTAAAAGAACGTTTTCACCTTCGTAGCCAGCGTCTATGAAAATGTCTTGGAAAAAAGAAAGCTTTTACGTAAGAAAGGAGTTAAACTCCATCAGGATTTGTTTGGAAGACCAACATGGCCGCTGTTTCATTGTTTTGAGACACCAATATGGCCGCCGTGACGTCATGTGAAAAAGCTATATAGTTCAAGTATCTTGCACCAGCGCGGGAGCGGGACTTTAAATACCTTCTCTTTGATACTCCCCTTCCCCCACTTAAAGCCCGCTTTAAACCATAGTCTCTTCTTTAAAAGGGCATTTATGTGGCTTCCCACGGGTCCACCAGGGCTCGTTATCATCCAGCAAAGCCAGAAGTTTTGAATCATTATCTTTACCCTTTCTTCTTGCAGGATGGCAAGTTAGTGGAGGAATTCTTTGGTCTGGACTGTCTGCACTTTTCAGCACAGGGCCATGCGGCAGCAGCTCTAGCCTTATGGAGAAACATGGTATGGTATTATCTATATATTAGACTGCAAAACAGTCGGTTTTTTTCTCAAAATCAGTAGAGAAATCGGTAAAGCGTGGCGTAAGAGTCTTACGCACACGAAGTGTGCGAGCCTCACACGCTCTCTCCCCAGTCTCGCTCTCTGTTTTCAGCCTCGTTCCAGACCTTTTGTTTAACTGCTTGCGCGTACTTGAATAGACAAAAATAGTCACAAAAATACGGACTGTTTTGCAGTCTATCTATATATCTACGCCTATGCTCTTTTCTGTCTATGCTTTCCTCTTTCGTTACTTTCTTTTATAGAGATAGAAGTTCTACAAGTAATTTTACTAATTTAATGTGGTCATTGCACGCGTGCTGAACAAGAATGCTGTATAATGACAGACAAGAAACAATAGACAACTCCCAAAGCACAAAGTCAGCCAAAACGCTAAAAATCTTCAATGTTTACTCAAGTTTGGGCTTATAGAAGATAATGTCACAGTTTTTCAATGACCATGAAATTCAGAGTCTGGGTAGTTAGTTAACCAAATGTGGCCCTGAAAAAATTTGAAGGAAAAAAAACTACGAATTTTTAAGAAAATGCTTTTTTCGTGAGAAGGACTCTTAAACGCTGACGAACGTCAACTAATAGCGAAAACTATAATTTCTATATGTTTGCTTTGCTCGAAATCGCGCGCATTTACAAGGCCCTAAAGCGTTTTGCTGACTTGCAAGGACCCATCTGTTATAACGATGCCCAAAATAAAGGGATGAATCTCTTAGTTTATTAGATATAATCCGTGTAAAGTTTGCTTATCATCTTCGCATAAATTATGACCTAAATTTGGAAACCGCTGAATTTCTCGAATTGGGTCTTTGCGATTTTGGTGAAACTCTGTTCAGCGCAAGGCACTAATGCGCACCATGTGTAGCCGAGAGATTTTCACGAAAAAAATGCCGGCAACAGCAGATTTTCGACTCAGACCTCAAAGGGGCGTGGCATTATATCCACGTGACACTTACTCCGATCGCCAAAAACTTTATGTTATATTGTAGATTGATCTATATGTTATCCATTCCATGTGTTAGACGTACGATAAAAGTAAAGGTGGGGATACCAGAGAGCTTCAAAGTAGGATGGTACCCCCCCCAAAAAAACTGGGTCGAGTCACCTTAATTCATGTCCAAAACAAATGGTCTTGTCTCAATGTAGTTAATCAGTGAAAAGTCAGAGTAAGTGTTGTAAACCCGATTTGTCCACCTGTAGCCGTCTACCTCTCCACTATAAAAGCCGGCACTTCCAAATGTTTATGTTAAGTGCCTTGTCAAACCAATTATGTTTGTTCTAAAAAGTATTCCATAAACATTTGTCATTTTTTTCGATACATCGTTGAATGTGACGTAAATGTCTCAAGCGAGACCTTTAAGGAGTACCCCAGACCAGTGAATGACTTTAATGCCGACTCCTCTCCATTACAGCTTATTACTGTATTGGTGTCAGAGATACCAACATAACGAACATTTCTTTAATACGGGCCTTGGTTCTGTCCATGGCATAGGGTTGACTAATATTTTTTATTATTTTTTTGGCTTCAGGAAAACCCCTACTTATTCACCAAAACAAACAGTAACACTGTTATGAGTAAACTGATCAGTGACGATGACCAGGACTCCACCTCAGATGACTTCCCTCCTGCGGCTGCTGTAGCGTTAGCTGTGTGTTTAACAGCTGTTGTGGTGATTGTTGTTGTTTTTGTGTGGAGAACCCGGAAGTCAAGACGAAGACCAGAAGCAAGAAAACTTCTCTATGCTCCCGGGCCACACAAACCAAGGATTTTGGGAGCAGGCGATGGGAAGAGGAGGGGAAGGTGTTGAATCAAGCGCTTCTCGCGCTCTGCGTTCTCTCCTTACTTCTCACGCACCTACAACGACCACGAAAGTGAGAAATCCTCAAAACAAGAAAGCTTATTATAGAGTCATTATTGCCTCTACACTTACGTCGTATATTTTAATCCAACTGTCTACCATTTCCATAAATTAACAGTGATATTAAACGACGAAATTCACGTGTTAAAGTGCTCACGAAGACGTGACCCTTAGTTGTCCTTTATCAGTTTGAACTTGAAAAAAATCAAGCCCGAATTCAAAATTAGGTGATGAAATAATTTAGTTTGACAAGCCCTAATTTAAAGAGTCCAGCATGTTTTGACCTAAGTATTACAACTGAACAGCCCGGCAATTTTTCAGATATGCTTAAAGAACTAGATTGGGGTACTTTAGAAACAAGAAGAAAGACAAACAATAAACTAGTACCTAACAGTGAAGCAAAGAACGCGTACAAGTGAAACCTTAAATTGTAGAGACCGTGCAATAATTATGAGGAGGTAGGGGTTGGAAAATGGGCCTTACATAGAGTAATAAAACGTCCCCTGCCAAGAAAGGCAAGTTAACTCTACCCCCCTCCTGTCCCCTCAAAATAATGACCACCCGACACACGCACCCCACCACCCGCCCCCCCACCCCGCCCCCCCCCCCCCCCCCCCCCCACCTCCCGCCCCCTCC